ATCACTTTGAAAGTGGAGAAAGGGGACATGAACCAAGGAGTGTGGGTGGTTTCTGGGGGCAGGGAAGGGGTTCCCTTCTGGAACCTCCAGAAGGAACACAGTCCTGCCAACACCAGGTTTGAAGCCAGCTAAAGACACATTTTAGACTTCCAACCTACAGATCTGTAAGATAACAAATTGGCATTGTTTTAAATTACTAGCTTTGTAGAAATTTACTAGAGCAGCAATAGAAAACTATACATAAATACATACATATCATTTTGACTTTTGTAGCATGGAAATATTCCATCTTCAAAAATTGAAAATTAATTTACAAATAAATTTAAAAAATTTAAATGCTCACACTTCAGTTTTGCTCCTCATGGAATTCTATCCAACTTCAAAATAAATTCCGAAGATCAAGAAACTGCTTCTTGACAGAATTGTCAGAATTATAGTTTGCTGCTGCTGGGAAACGATGGACCATTTCTGCTGATTTTGTGGTTTCTTAAATCATATTCTGACATTATGGACCTGACTGACAGGTTTTTCAGCATAATGCATGATTTATAAAGCAATGGACTGATCCCATAGAGTTGGCAACAGAGACATCTGGTGGCAAGAAACAGATACTACAACTTTAAAACTGCAGTGTTTTCCTTTTAGACTGAAATCCTGTTATTGCTCAGGGAAAGTAACCAGAAATGGTTAGTAGTAACACAATTTGGGATTAAAAAAAAATCTTTTCAAATATGGCAGTAACTGTCATAAAGTAATGTTTGTTAATTGTTTCAATTACTCCAACATCCAAGTTGCAGTCAGATAGATTCAGATAGAATTGCAGTCAATTCTAAAGAAATTTGTTTAGCACCTTGACTGAGGTGAGGTGAGAATAACAGAGATTATCCTTAGGAGATGGGGAAAATTCTTTGAAGTTAAAGAGCAAGTTTGCATTTACCCATCAGATTAAAAGGTGGGTCACCCCAGTGTTAAGGGTGGAGTCTTCTTGCCACGGGAAATATTTTGAGGACTAAGGATGGAAAAGAAATAAGCTGCGTGGAGAGAAGCAGTCATGCACATGAGCAAAAAGAAGGGCAAAAAAAACTCATAAAAAGATGGAAGGAAAGATAGGAAGCTAAGAAAAGGGGAGTTAAGAAAAGTTGTGGAAATTCACAGGCAACTTTCTCACAAGCCCAAGCATAACCTCAGCTGTCATGCCTCACTCTAGCTCATTCTGACTTAAAAGTGAGTGGAGCGCTCTTCAACATAACACTGGAAGTTCTAGCCAGAGCAATAAGACAGGAAAAAGGCATACAAGGAATCCAAATAGGGAAAGAAGAAGTAAAACTATCCTTATTTGCAGATGATATGTTAATTTATATGGAAAACCCTAAAAG